GTGAGAGAGGGAGGGAGCATGATAGGGACCCATGGACCATCTTGGGACCAAGAATCCCTGGGGTACAGTAGCAGTTAGGGCGTAAGCATAGAGGGAGTAGAGGCCCAGACGAGGAATCTGCAGAGCAGCCTGGCTGGCCGGGACTGACGTGGCCAGGAGTCTCCCTGTTACAGAGGCCGGACCTCTGCGTGGGTTCTGCCCATCTGTCTTCCCCTCTTGCATCTCGAGCTTGCTTTCTGCAGCTCTGCTGCCAGCTGTCTTGTCTCCTCTGGCTCACCAGATTATCCGAGTGATCAAGAAAAACACTAGCACCTTCTGCCTTGGAACATCCACCTGTCCTTCTACATAGCCCCAGCCATGTCCCAGGTCCCTCTTCCTCCCTCTTCAGACCTAGCACAGTCCTCTCTGCTGCTGCATGGGAACTGCAGTGACCTCCTTGCCCCAGGCCCAGGGGCCACTTCTCCAGACTCATCTTCCCACTTCCTCAGCAGATTCAAGATAGACGACTGCTGTCTTAGATGCTGTGATCCATTTAAAAAATTCTCCTCTCATCATTTCAAATCTCTTCTGGTTGATTCTTTTCCTTATTTTCCAATGGTGGAATTAATATTGTTTATGGGGTTAGGGATTAAACGCATGGCCTCTGTACAGAGCTGAACCCTAGCCCTTTTTATTTTCAGGCAAGTCTTGCTAAATTGCACCGGCAGAGCTTGACCTCAAGCGCCTCCTTTCTTGGCCTGCTGGGGTCACTGTTGTGCACCTCTCTCCTGGCTTCAAATGGTGGAATTATTGAGGGTGCCATGCAAGGCCCTCTGTGTACCAAATTCTTTCTCATAGGAGAGTGTTTCTTGTATAATGGCTACAAATATAAATGTAAGTGCTGACTTCCATGTCTATCTCTGGCTTGTCTCTTCTCTGAGCTCCAGACTTGTCATGGAGCTGTGCGACTCGCGTTTTCCAGGTGGATCTCCCATCTTGAGTAGAGCCACTAGCTCTGCCCTCCCCAGAAAACCTGCTCTTCCCTCAGGGCTACTCGTCCCTTGTGTTCCTTTAAGGGAGACAGGGGAGGGAAGAGGTGGTGACTCCTGCTTTTGATTCCTTGCTTCCCCCCTCATCAGCCATTCTGTTGGTTTTACTTCTCCTCCATCCATCTCCTTCTCCAGTGAGATGATTGTGTTGTTTAAAAGCCCCTCCCAGCTCTCCTCCCTCTTAGCACGGCCCACAGCCTTTCCACGCCCTGGGTCTTCCGTCCTTCTCATCTCCTTGCAGCTCGCTGTCCTCGCTGAACCTAGCTGTGCTGGCCCTCTTTCTGCTCTTCACACGTTATCTCCACATGAGGGCTCTTTTGGCAGAAATCCTCACCCTCGGCTTTTGGCTGACCCGATTCCTTCCTAGGTTCTAGGTATGAGCTCCAACCTTAACTTCTCAGGGAGCCCTTACTGACTGACTGTTGAAAATTGATCAACCTTTCCCCTGTGCTATCCAGAGGTCACCTGTTTACTTCCTTTGCAGTATTTCAGACTTCATTATTTTTTAAAATTAATTTTGAGAAACAAATAGCAATGCTACAGTTTCAAAACTGATTAGTAGGACAGTTTCAATAATCAATACATCGCATATTCTTATCTTCTTAGTGGTTTTTCACAGTACAAGATGCAAACATGATATCCTGTCCACAAACACTATTAGTACAAATCTTTCTTCTCATTGAATTAAGAGAAAGAAGCTGTATATCTATCCTATTTTGCATATGCAGATACAAAACGGTCCTCCATTTCTATCCCCCTTTTTTTGTTTAGTTTTGTCAGAGATGGGTATTCCATTAACATTTAAATATTGTAGGTGCATGAATTCAGCAAAATAGTCTAATATAGTCCAGTAGCCCATAATAGTATTGGGTTGTCCTTAGGACTGGCAATGTCAGAAGTTGTTGACTTGAGCCTTTTACAGCTCAGCATATTAATATGGCTTTACTTTTTATACCTTGTTATTATACTTTTCTGCTG